GGGTCCCTGAAACAGGAGAGTCACAGTGAACATTTCACAGGGGTCCTTGAAACAGGAGAGTCCAGTGAACATTTCACAGGGGGTCCTTGAAACAGGAGAGTCACATGAACATTTCACAGGGGTCCCTGAAACAGGAGTCACTGTGAATAAAGATATCAAGTTTTAGTAACTGACAAAATGGGGTATTCCAAAGTTTCTAATATTCAGAAGATTGCTCTTAGAATTTTCAAGACTTGTGAAATGATGATGAGCCAAGAATTAAAATTTTATTTCAAACAATGTGTCTTAATTTATCTTGCCAGGAACAGGTACATCATCAATTAGGGCAGGAATTTTTATTCACCAACCTGTCCAATGAACACGGAACTTTTATTTTCAACTCCTATAAATATGACAAATGGCAACATAGGATAACACGTGCCAGCAACGAAGCCAGATTGTTAGCTTGTTTTTGTTTTCTATTTCTACTTACCCTTTGTCGTTCCTGGCTGCTATCCTGAATATAATGGCAGGTTTGCTAGTGTAGTCAATATGTGCCGTAGCTAGATTGGCTGTACTAACTGTACATGACGGACTGGGCCCGCAATACACTCTTACAAACGCTAACTGTGCAGGCGTCAATGGCTTCTGGTCTCCACCGGCGGCAGCTGCATTCCGTACAGCAAGATAGACGGAATATTCCAATATTTTGCCGGCAGTGTTCGTCGGTGGCTCCCATGATAGATGTGCTCCTTCCGTGCTCTGGATCAAAAATTATATACAATTCTATTATTATTTCTGTTGTTTGTGTACCCTCACAGGTTGAGAATGAACAGCAATTCCCCCAATTGTCAGTGAAAACACTGTTCATAGAGGTTACACAGTTTCCTTGATCATTAGATATGAACACCATACGAGAAAATAGAATTTACTTGAAAACCAGCAGGCCAACCACTGATCCTTACAATATTGTTGATTTCACATATATTCAGGGACTTGAGTGGAAAGTTGATTTGAACTAGAAATCCGAAAGCGCATAAAATTCCTACCTTACTAATCCTGATAGCAGACGGAGCGCCTGGAAATCCAGGCAGACACGTCTTGAAAGCAGACACTTCGCTAAATGAACCCCTTCCACATGCATTGATACCAGCAACTCGGAATTTATATGCTGTTCCAGGAAGTAATTCCTGCCTCTTTAGCACACTGTGGTCAGGCACACTTACTACGTCTATATCCTGTGTAAACAAAAATATACAAAGATGAAAATACATGCAATAATTTTGATTTAAATTATATTATAAATTGAACAAAGCTTTCACAAGTAATGTAATAGACAAATGAAAGATTGCATACACTTTACATTACTGCATCTATAGTTTCAATATGGATACTGTAACCAAAGCAATGTTAAGCAGATACAAATTTTGTTAAATATTCAATACATTTACTAAACATTTTTTTGAGATTTAAAAATAAGAGGGCAGCGAAATTAGTAAAGAAGCCCACGGAAATTGACCATGACTTGTAAGAAATTTGTCATTTATAGAAGCCCTTTCTCAGCTTTGACAGTTAACTGATTTTGAACATGGATTGTTATGTCACTATTTTGATGTCATTAATGCCATCACACTGCACTTTATGTTTGTAAGAGGCTATAAACAATAGGAGAGAGTAAGAAGGATCTCACCACTAGAGGGCATAATCACACCTGAATTTTTTTTTACTAAAAATGCAGGTTGCAGTTTTATATAAATACTTACATCATCATTCCTTTGTCCAGCCTCTGAAGGTAAATGGTAATGTGATACAATGTTTGATGTACCCTTTATAATACCAACATCGTACCATTGGTTAGCCTCTCGTTTTACACTAATCTTCGTTGTCACCGGATTTTCCTGCAAAAGAAGTGAAATAAAATCATTATTTATCATAGGTGTTCATGGAAGTCTTCTATTTTACACAAATGGTGTAGTAATAGAATATATTATAAAACAATTGCACAGAATTGAAATGAATACCGAAAATGCATCTCTCATATCTGGAGTGATGACTTGATCATCCATAACTGGAAGGAATTGGGAACTTACAAGTTTAGTGTCGTCTGTTGGTTCTTTTTTAATCTGGGTAATTGTAGTCGTCATGCCATTAGTAGCAACTTGACTCGTACTAGATGCAGGCATTGAAGTACCAATGATGCCATTGTCATTGCTATAGATTTATTATCAAGATCTGCAAGAAACAAATTTGGCAATGAGCAATTTGATCCACAAAAGCATAATTATTTGTATGAGCAGTAGATGGCCTCGTCCAAAATTAGTGAAACGAAATTTGGTAATTGCCAGTACGATGCAGTGCAGTGATATACTCACACAGAGAGTAATGCAGAGAATCATGGATCTTACCTGCTGTGGATAATTTAGTAGGTGCAGCTAATGTTGTCAGCATGGGTAATGTAGTCGGTGTGGCTGACGTAGTTGATGTGGCAGATATAGGTATAGTACTGGTTGGTGTGATTGCAGTAGCTGTTGTTGGGTTACTGATAGTTGCACTAACACATGTAGAGGTGCTATCTTGAGCAGCTGTTGTTGCAGGTGGTACATCTTGACTGCTAGGATTTGAGAGATTTTCTGGCTTGCTTGGATTATGTGGATTTTCTGGGTTGCCTGGATTATGTGGATTTCCTGGATTTGAAGGATTTCCTGGGTTGCCTGGATTATGTGGATTTCCTGGGTTGCCTGGATTATGTGGATTTCCTGGATTATGTGGATTTCCGGGGTTGCCTGGATTTGAAGGATTTTCTGGGTTGCCTGGATTATGTGGATTTCCAGGGTTGCCTGGATTATGTGGATTTCCGGGGTTGCCTGGATTATGTGGATTTCCAGGGTTGCCTGGATTATGCGGATTTCCAGAGTTGCCTGGATTATGTGGATTTCCGGGGTTGCCTGGATTATGTGGATTTCCGGGGTTGCCTGGATTATGCGGATTTCCGGAGTTGCCTGGATTATGTGGATTTCCGGGGTTGCCTGGATTATGTGGATTTCCTGGGTTGCCTGGATTATGTGGATTTCCGGGATTGCCTGGATTATGTGGATTTCCAGGGTTGCCTGGATTATGTGGATTTCCAGGGTTGCCTGGATTATGTGGATTCCCGGGGTTGCCTGGATTATGTGGATTTCCAGGGTTTCCTGGATTATGTGGATTTCCTGAGTTGCCTGGATTACCAGGATTGTGAGGGTTTCCTGGATTATGTGGATTTCCTGGATTGCTGGGATTATGCGGATTCCCTGGATTATTTGGATTTCCTGGGTTATGCGGATTTCCTGGGTTTCCTGGATTATGAGGATTTCCAGGAGGATTTTGATTCCCTGCACCATCAGGCTGGTCTTCCCCTGGATTAGCTGGTGCATTATCAGGTACAACAGCAGGAGCTGCAGGTTGCACTTCTCCTGAGTTTTGTGGCAAAGATACAGCAATAGAAGATGATGTACTACTTGATGCACCTGAAGACTGTAATATAGAAACACCTTGAACTTGTGTGTTTATTGTTCCTGTATTCAGTGCAGTGGAAACTGGTGCAACTGCTGGCACCGTACTGGTAACCATTAACCTTCCCTGTGTGGGTGAAGATGTTGAACTGGCGGTCGAAGTTACCATTAATGTTGTAACAGGACTTTTGGCATAAACCACACTCGTCTGTGTTGCCGGCGAAACAGTAACCGTAGCCTTGTTCAACAACGATGTGCCCAAAACGGAGGTTCCACTTACAACAGTCGATGACGAGGCAAGGGTGACAGTAGTGGGCGAGCCAGAGGCTGACGCTACAGTCATCTGCACTGGTATTGCTGTGATTCCCGCAGCTTTTGCTGCCCCGGTAAATGAACTGGCAGCACTATTATTGCTGACTACAGTAACAATAGGCCTCTTTGGCAGTGATGATGTGGCTATGCTTGTAGCCCGTGTTGCACTTGCCTGTTGTGCAGGACTTGTAATTGTCTTAATGATTGTAATTGGTGATGTTGCAACAACAGTACCTGCTCGTGTAGTAGTGGTGCCAGCCTGGGTGGCAATGATGACTTGTTTTGGCATGGATGTGGTGATAATTTTAGTAGGGTTACCTGTCATACTAGACAACATTTTTGAAGTAACAGTCACATAAGTTGGGCCTTTGCCTGAACCAGTGTTTAAAGTAGTAAATCCTGGTTTAGAAACTGAAGATGATAAAGGAATGGTTCTTACAATAGAGGTGCCTGACTTAGACTGCTGGGCAATACTGCTCAAGCCAAGTATTGTTGCATTTTGTGTTTTCGTTACACCAGCTTGTGTTGTGGTAATTATGGTCGCTTGTCTGCCGCCGGATGACGAAGCTGACACCAGTTTCACAATAGTGGCTTGAGGTACTTGAGTTTTGCCAATCTGTATTCCTCCAGGTGTTAGAGACTTGACACCGCTTTGCAGGGTGGTTATAGCTGGTTTGGTTTGAAGAACAGTCATTTTGGGTACCTGAAATGAACATACGAAAACAATCAACTTGTGATAAACTAGTAGCTCATTCTCAGTAATTGAGAAGTGAAAACAAAATTTGGAAATCACGATTAAATTTTGTGATTTTTCGCCTCTCTGAAATTAAAGCAGTTACAGTATGAAAGTAGGTCAGTGCACGAATCGATGACGTTCAGAAACTACAGGTCAACTCACCGCTGATGTCGGCAGTGTAGTTTTCACTAGTGTTACCGTCTTAGTTGTGCCCGCGACTACGCCGGATACATAATGTGTTTGAGGTGTGGTTGTTATGGATCCTGCTTTCTGTACTGTAATTATTGGCTTGGAAGTAGCTGCTGCAGCCACCGTCTTTAACATAGCACTGGCTGGTGTACTGACCACTGTCACAGGAGAGTTGAATTTCATTCCCGGAGTCAAAATGCTGGATACGGTAGTAACAGCACCCCCGATTGACTTCACAACAGTCGGGACCATTGATAGAGGGCTTCTGAGTTGAGTTACTGCGCCAGGAGACTGTACTCGTGCACCTGCTGGTATTTTTTGTGTCGCCGCGGCAGCAGCGGCTAATGCTGCTATTCCACTCATAGCTTGTTGGTTACTACCAACCAGTCCCTACAGAAGAAATGAAACACGATAAAAGTGTTAGATGATATCCTGTACAACAACACGGATGTTAACAGACTAACAAACTTTTCTAAAATGATCAATTCATCACTTACTGATTTAGCTGATATCGTTGTTAAACCGCCAGTACCAAACCGTATCTGTCCTGTGCCAACTCCAAACGGAGCTTGTACTTTTACTGTAATGAACAAGAAAAACGTTGAAAGAAAACCACACATACACACTCTTTACCCTAAATTACCCAGCATACAAAGAACAACTCGCGGATACTAGGGAGACCATACGATAATCTCATCTTTACCTGCTTTTGTGTTTTGAAACATGGCTGTTGTCGCAGTACCAACTGGCATCTTTACTTGTGTGACTGAAACAAAAACATAGAATATGTCTGATGTATGTACAATATGTGTATCAGAAACTTTTTGAAACAAAATGGCCACCAGTCTACCATTTTAAATCCAAATCTAAACAAAATGGCTACCATTCGGCCATTTTGAATCATTTGCATATGATATATGTGTGAAGCATACATGTACACGAGATATGGTCAATCCATAAGTCGCCATTTTTGGAAGTGATGTTCTACATATTTGCAACGCGGCCTTCAAGCCATTTTACATCGGGATAGAAAACAAATGACATGACTTAGAATAGAAAGTCTTGTCAATTGTTCAATGTACATTTTGAATGAACTTGACACAACAAATCAAAAAAAAAACTGTCAGTAATCGACAATCTTCTATGCTAAATTAACCATGCTAGTCTCTCCTAGGGCTGTCTTTGGGTTAAAGAAGGATTCAAATCCTCTGATGCATAGAAGACATAGTTCTACATCATGTAAATTTCTAACTTACCTGTTACAGGTGATTTTGCTGGGGCTGCCTGTGGCTGTGTTGTTCGGAGTGGGCTCACAAATCCCCCTGGTACAGTAGGTGTTGTGGGAGTTGGAGGCATGTCATATTTTTGTAGTTGTAGTAAAAAGGCATCAGGCTACAGACAAAGAATATATATAATTTGTATAAGGTTGTATCCAAGGTTACCAAAAAAGTTACAAAAATGACTTGAAAAGGGGCAATTTTGTTTTAAGAGCATCACAAACCTGTGGGAACAGCTCCCCAGCAAACTTCTAAAGTATTGGTACTTGCTCTGACAAGCTGTACACGCGAGGGCGCTGGTGGCTTCTCAGATTCTAAAAACCATAAATCTTTGCAACACACCTGAAATACAGAATACATTAGACATCAGAAACCAACATAGCACAAAAACAACTACAGGGGCACTATGGTGAATTTGTTCAATCAGAAGCAAACAGGAACAAAAAATTGAATTTGTTGTATACTGAATCATTAGATATATATTTTGACCCAGGGTTCTCCTCAGGGCATTATAGAGTAGGGGTTCCTAAACTGTTAAATTTGGGATAAACAATACAACCAATTTAGCACAACAATGAACACACCAGAAGTCATTAACATACTCTATTGTTATGCAAATTGGTCAATACTGTCAATTTTTTGAGGGAAAACACTGACCACAGAAACACATCTGTAATTTAAAGTGTGTGCTACTAATAGAGCAAATACGGTACATAAATTTGTTTACCCAGGCAGCAATTACCTTCTCCAATACATTCACTCAAATGGAAATTCAATTTTCAGAAGCTGGAAAAAGTTTCCCAAATCCTAAGCAGCAGTGATGGAAAAAGAGAAAAAAAAAACAGGACCTGTTGAATAAAAGCATATACCTGATTATTCCATGCTTTCCTGTAGCCATCTCTACCACTCCACACATATAACCTTGTATTTACTGCCACTGAACAGTGGCCTGCTCTAGCCCTCGGCACTGCATCTTCAAACACTTCCATTGCCAATGGCTCCCAGGTCATAGATTCTAGAAGATATAATGATGAATGATGGTATTAGCAGTAATTCTGATAATATTCCTGTGCAACAAGCCCTACTGAAAACATGCAGAGGAATTGACAAAACAAGTGTCTGTGTTACAAATGGGCGACCCTGTCTTGACACAATACGAGGACACTCCAATATTGGAAACAGTAGAAGCAGCATTTAGGATCACGCAAAATGCTGCATTCAAATTTTAGCAGGAAAATTATGGCATTAAATAGACCTCAAAAAGTAGGTTGAGTTACTCAGCACGATACACTAAGCAATGTACAGCAAGGACTGGAACTTACCAAGATTCAGAGATGCTAGCGTATTTGTACATTTCCATTCTTTCTCGTGAGTAGCAACTTTTTGATCATCCATAACTAGCGGTACCCAGCCGCCAAACACAAACATCCTGAAACGGAAATACACTGATATTATAAAGTTCAGCCATACATAAGGGTATGCAAGTTTATTTATATAAAAGTGATGAATCGTAATCAGGTGATAACAAATTGAGTGTTTTGAGGGAATAGAACAAGAGTTGAGATCAAACAGGGTGCGACTAATATTCTACAATTACAGTAAAACCATCTTTACAGCAATGTGATAATACCCATGTTTTATATGCTAACAGCATACAGTAGCACACAACCGTGGAATGACAATTTGAATCTCCAGAAGTGACTTACCTGCATCCGATGTTTGTAGCAGAGTGAAGACTGCGCGGTAACGGGGGTATGCCGTGAACAAGTGGTTTATTCCACGTCATTGTGTTGATATCTAACTGCCACAAATCACCAAGCCTGCACCCGCTCATGCCGCCATATACAATCAATCGCTGTGCTTTTGTGTCTTTCTGGATGTACCCGCACGACGTGTGGGATTCTCTGGGTGGAGGAGGATCTCCATTTATGTCTGGGATTTCCCATCCCACAACACCCGAGCCTGGTTTTAAATCTAATACATACAAATCATTCAAGTACCTGTAAAATAGTATATTTTACAGTATAAGATAGCATCACAGTAAACAATAGAAAAAATTATCGTAATTGCTCAATTGGAAGTGCATGAACCAAGTCTGTATTTTGATAAAGCATTTATAACAGAACAGACAATAAAAGAATACATAGTTATTTTATTAAATACTGTTTCTTTCAAACTGAAAGGCATTTAAAATCAATATCATAAATTTACCTTGGTATGTTATTCTTTGGATCTTCACTGTCATTTGCCAAACCACCGAATAAATAAACTTTTTGAGCAATCAGGGTAAAACTATGGCCAAGCCTCGGACACGGCAGAGGGCCATTTTTTGGTGCTTTTGGTTTCAGCCGTTTCCATTCCCATCGACTGGCTTGTAATTCATATAATTCATTTGAGTATTTTCCATATTCTACCATTCCGCCAAAAACTAAAAGTCTGGTTCCATCACAAACAAAGCCATATGCAGCACATCCCGGTGGGATATCTCCCCGCACGGCTGGAACAAACCATTGATTGGTTGCTGGATTGAATGAAAAACACAAGAGAGAAGTTATATCAATTTCAGACCTTTTTACAAACTGTTTTTGTTTTAGCAAGAAGTAGGCAAAAGTAAATGAATTAACTTTTTTGTTTGAGGAAGCTGAACACATCTATGTACAAAATTAAATACAGTGAAAATATATTCTTTCAGTTTTGCATCAAGCACATTTAAAGATCAGTGAAAAACTGAATGAGTTCTTTCCAAATATGAATTGTATCAGTTTTAATTTTAATACATAATAATTTTAGATGATACATGTAATTATAAGTAAAAAATTTCCATTTTTTAATTTAAAATATTCACAAATTAATTATTACTACCTAAAAAATAACAAATAACAATTTTGTTAGAAAACGTATATTATATTTTCAATTTTCATTGAAAATTATTTTGATTTGCTGTCTGCTAACTTGTTTGCATTATACTAAATTTTTCGGGCAAGGAAAAAAATCAATACGAATAGTCACAAAAATAGACATACGTAAAAATGGATTTCAATTCGCATATTCTTTTTAGAAGTTCTTTGTGGTTAGTAACCAACATTCTAATGCTGTACGATTTCATAATCTGACGTTTGAGATATAAACAACCGGTCGCCATGTTGGAAATGCCAATACACTCATCGTTAAAAATGCGATTTACTGATGATCCACGCAACTAATCGTCAATCACTTTCACATAAAGTAACCTCAACTCATATGCCCTAAACTGTGATTTTTTGGTATCACGTATTGCAAAATGGGTGCCGAAAACTGTGCTATTTAAAATAGGCCATTTTGTCTTTCATGCCCAACCCTGGGCGCCGCCATATTGGATTTAAAAAAAAACTATTTTTTTTCACACAAGTCACTAAATTTTAAAGAAAATATTTAACAGGTGTTGTAAAATGAAAAATTACACTGTTCTTACTATTTTTTTCAACATTAACAATCGAACTTGATGAGTTTCACCGAGGGCGCCAAATGGTTGAAAAATAACAACAATAGAGGCCGCCATCTTGGAAAGCACCAAGCGCAACAACAAACACCGGGTTACCTGTGTTATAAACGTGAAGTTCGTCGACGATTCCTTCGTTACCACCTCCGAAGACAACCATCAGGTCTTTGATTGCTACAGCTCGATGTCCATGCCTCGGACGCGGGCAGGGACCGCTGGTATTACTCACACGCTTCCATTTCAATATGGGTGCCGCCATCTTGATTCCTACCCACAATGCTGGGGGTGCCGATCAAAAAGCCCGGATGGTGTCAACATTAATGTACCTCGTTCCCAATACACTATCCAATAACATAAACAATTTACACAAACAATTAATTATCAATATGATATCAACTATAAATATGTTATTAAATATATAATATTACTTAAAAATAAAACAATTTTAAAGTTACTACGATCTCCATTCAAAGGGACAGTCGGAGCGTTAATTAAATGTTGGAGGAAGAGGTCCCGGCTTTTCACGAACCTGGAGCCGAACTCTATTTTGAAAAATTGGTAGTTTACGTCATAGAAGATTAACTATTATAGATAAATATATTTATGGTAAAAATATGGATGAAATCTCTAAAAAAATGTTTTTTGATGTTAGAGATAAGAAGAAATATCGAACTGTTCTGTTTATTATACTAAAGTACCCGGATTAAATTAACATTTTCAACATGGCGTCTCTCCAGGGTAGCACCATGTTGTCAAGTGGAATATTATTCGTCGTTGTTGCATTTATTAGATTAACCGAGCTTGACAAACAGCATCGTTAATTGCATTAGGACCACGATTATAAATACGAGTAGGTTAAATTGCAAGTGCAATACATTTTTTCTTTTAAACAGCAGTTTGTTTGTTGAATGAAAGGTGGGCGGACCAAATTTATTCCAAAGTGGGCGTGTCTACTGTTCCGAGCTGTGTTGACGAATGACATCACGTATACCTGCAGGCTCTCTGGGATCAGAGTACTAGTATTTGACTGACCTTCACGCCAAATTGCATCCCGAACCGATACCTGTCCATGATATAGGTATGATTTCTGAGTTGTTTTTTACAGTGAATCATCGTCTCGATTTGCACTAAACTGCGTGGTATAGTTTCATCGATAAAGGTTGCGAATTTCAAATTGACTAAACTGTGTATTCTAATTTGAAGTTAGAATAAAGTCGATATAGTGATTTACAGTAATACAATGTATACATGTAATTTGTGCAACCCTTGACCTAAATTGAACTATGGACCCACTATGATATCAATGAATGAACAGAACTGAGTTGATAACTTAAAATTTGGCGGAAGCTAATTTTTAGTCACTCTGACTAAAATAAATAAAACTTGAAATCATCACCAATAGCCTGTTCATTTACATAGAGAACAAAATATTTGCTCTGGAGGTACTCTGAGTACTTCAACTGGTGATGTGAAAAAATGTGAAAGTTAGTGAAGATGAGTCTATGTTGCACATTTTTGATTTGTTCCAAATATGGTTCAAATTTTAAATTAAGTTTAAACTTGTTGTACTGTGATGCTTATTAAAACATTGTTGGCAAGCAGACTTTATTATAGTAAGTTTGTTATTAAATTCAATAGAGTTTGATATTTCAACACATATTAAAATTTATTGAACACCTATTAAAACAAAGAAAATAAATAAAGCTCAAACTAGGATCAGATTGGATTTTTCACTAATTTCAGTTCAACGCAAATAATTTTTCAACCAATTACTATTCATTTTATTGCAAGTATTGAAAGTTTTGTCAAGGAAGTGATTATTTTCTATTAATTTAAGCCTTTCATAATATTAGCAGTACATTTCATTTGTTAATCAAACGAGAGTTGTCTACACCAAAATAAGTCTCAAATATTTGTCCACACATTTATTCTCTCAATTTAACCACTTGTTAGTACAGTGTAGTGGAAATTACTTAAACGTGACTTGTTTAATCAGTTGACATGAATGCAACTTGCCCACAGAGAGTACACAACAGAGTATCATTATTGAGCAATTATAAACAGGAACGTGTTAGGGTTAGGGTCGGGTCAGGTATGGGCAACGGATTATTAACGGGAACGTGTCTTGGCATTAGGGTTAGGGTCGAGTCAGGTATGGGCAACGCAAATGGCAAACACCCAATTGGCAAGATGTACACTAACAGGTTATGGCATGCATATAGTTTACACAAGTAAAAACATAAAATTGGCAATTTTTTGAACAATTGTAACTCAATAATAGAAATATGTTGTATTTCTATATGTATACACACTATATAGTCTTATCAAATGCAAACACATCCAGTTAATCAATTGTGGTCTTGTGGTTCAGTTGTCTACACAGTGATCAGGAGGACCTGGGTTCAATTCCTATGCCTGCCAGTCTTTTCTCAGCAATGTGAGAGATCGCTGGTTCGAATCCAGTACGGTTAGTACGATTTTTGAATGCTAGTGAAAACATTGCTCCTATAAGTAGGACTTAAAGTGCCTGTGAAATGGCTGCTATTTTCACGCCTAAAATTATCCATTGATACATAAATATTATTATTTTTTTAAGTTTCTAAGCATGAATTATTTTTTTGTGTGAAAAAATGTGTTTTAAACTCAATCTACGGCAACTATATTTTTGTGTATTTTAAAACGAGGCTCCTCATTAGCTTCTTATTTGCATACAGAAATTCCCCTTGTGACGTCAGAAGGGTAAGTCGCATGGCAGCTTGCATTGCCGATACGTGTAAATAAGGCAAATTTCTTCTGCAGTTTTCTCGTCTTTGACTATATTTTCACTTATGTACTTATGTACGTCGAGGAGGAATGGACCATAATGAACACATAGTATCAATTTTTGTTGCATGGGGTTGAGTTAGATGTGAAATATGTTCGTTCTGGTGTAGCTGGTCACCGTGATCGTCAGCGTCGCACGTTTGTACACTGTCACTGGACAAAATAGAATTTGACATTGGAATTATCTCGTTATTTAGTAGGTTACTAGGCATGTCACTACACTGTTTTATTTCATCGATCGTCTGAGTAAAACTTTCAAAATTAAAATAAAAGAGAACATATTTTGACATTCTAAACATTAGACCATAGTGATCACTATAAAATAATTTAAAAAACGACAAATCACAGTTACTAAATAAATGACAGCCGCGTGGAAATAAATTATTGCTACCTTTTACTTAACAGGGACTAAATGGTCTCTATAAAACGATAATCAGGATCGCAAAAAAGTCAACTCATTTGAAACACTTGCCGGACGTCTCTCTCTCTTCTGAAATCCGCCTCGGTGATCATGGTCCGGAATCTATTTCTTTCAAAAGTGTTGCGCCAGGTTTATGTTGTCTGCGTTTCTCTTTAAACCTAGTTGTTTTTTTCATGGACGAGGACAGTTTTTCAAAAAATTGAATCTGAGGTTAAGTGGCTTTCGTTCACTGATGTCGCACCTTCGGATCGATTAGAAACGTGTGAATACTTACACTATGACTATACGTTTCACTGCAACTGCCCACAACACAACATCTAAAAACTCTTTCTCTCTCAAAAAAAAAAGAAAATAGACAAAAAAAGAAAGAAAAAAAAACGCCGACTGAAAAATGTATATCGTTTAAAAGTATACTGAATGACCAGTGTTATTGCGGCTCAGGGGTATGACTTTCTCTCATATTTTGGCATTTGGTGGCGCACTTTCGGCGAGAGTCGGAAATCCGGAAACAGTTGACCGTTTCAGGATAGGTGGACGTGGCTACAACACAAGAAATATCCCAAATTTACTTGGATACGAGTAATCATTTTCAGCAAAAAAAATCAATAACTGCCCATTTCAGTGGGATACAGATCTAAAATGGGAAACGTGAGGGTGGGCATTACACAGGCACTTTAAATAATATCACTTGTGTAAAGACACTCGTGGTACAGTGGACAAGACAGTGCGCTAGGAACTCAAAGATTGCAAGTTCGAATCACGGAAACGACACTCCTACAAGACAAGATATGAAAGACGTTAAAAACATAAACAGCAACTTCTGTATATCAAGAACTCAAGTCAGAAAAACAAAACACAAGAATACTACCTCACATGGAAGCCAGTCGAAGTCGTCGACAGTTGACAGCTGCAGGTCACGTGCAACAACAGACACGAGGAGCAATGCTGCTCTCCAAATGGGTCCCTTCTTTTTTATTGACCCCCTAAGGATTGCTAATCCCCCTTTCTAACTCTTCCCCCCAAAATAATATATAGCCCCTTTTACAATGTATTGACCCACAAATTAATGTATATTCATGAGCACAGAAACTGCTTTGTCATGAATAAATTAGCATAATTACAAAAAAAAATTGCATAAAGTGTAGGTACGTCTTCTGGAGTCCTGTCAAATACGGCATTAATATAGTCCAATGTTGTATTATCAGAGAACACAGGGTTTTTTCTTGAAAAAAACTGCAAGAGGGAGCACTGCAATTCAGTGGCGCCACCAAGTGAGGGAGATAGGGTTCTCCCTTCCAGAGTGTGGAGTTTTTGATAATTCTGAGTTAAAATGAAGCATTCTATGACTTCTTTGAGTCCAAAATTTCTAACAGACAGGTCACAGTTGAAGAGTGTGGCCACATGTTATCCCTGGTCAATCAGAATTTTATGGTTGCCAGAGGATCTGTTCCCTAGGGTGAAGGGCTCATCCCTGGAACATACATCTTAGCTGAAAAAAAAAAAGTTGTTAACATGTTTTTTGAGAGCAGTAACGTAAAGCCACATCTTAACCTGGCTACAACTGATGTAGCCGTCAAACTTTTTCCAGTTTTAAGCACAAATTCCTATTTGACAACATATTTTCATATTTTCAAAGTGGTTGTCCCAGGACAACCATGAATTTTTATTTAATGTTTACCCCTGGCTTTCTAAATGTAATGTTTTATCATGGGTAAAATGGATAACTGAGCGCTATGACATGCACCAGACACACCATTTTCCGATTAGCAAAGCGGCTGTAACCTGACATTTAATACTGTGTCAGTAAATATAATTTGTTTGCATAACATCTGCTGTTGAATTTAGTTTGATCCAACCAATCACATAATGATTTCCAGGCGCACATAGCAAAACAGTAGGCAACTTAGCTTTTAATGTTGATATTTTGGTGTTCGGAACAATATGGCAGTGACAGTAAGACTTGGTCTCACTTTTATTCTATGGTTGTATCTTTCAGAGCATGAAATACTGGTAAACTTGACGAATCATGGAATTACTGTTAAAATCATTTGTCAGCGTGTTTGTGGGAGCTGGTATTCTTTACATTTTGGTATGGTGTGGATATTTTGATGCTGCGACCACGGAAGATGGTTACAAGTATTATGCCGAGATGGAAAATCCAGACTGGGGTTTTATTCAGTTTCCTAAGTGGTTAAAAATGCCTGCAAATTCTGTTGTCAATGCGGGTTATACAATACTCGGATTCATCTGGATTTACATCGCTAGAGTGGACTCAACAAAGTGCCTCACTCAGATGGACAAATATATGTTTTATATTTTCTCTTGGAAAGCAGTTGTATACGGTCCGGCCCAGTATGCTAGAATTGCTACCCAAGCACACCGATGGGCCATACTGGATCAATGGTACACTTTTCCTTTCTTTGCATGGGTTACAGTGTGGGGTCAATACGTTCTCCATGGGTGGAACAGTTTCCGTACTGCAGTGGTTATGCTGTTATCCTGCTCAAGTTATATTCTCACTCTTGTTCACCACCGGGGATTTGAAGTTGCCCTAGGTATACATATACTCTTTGCAGTGGATACTGCAGTCAAAGTTCACTTGAAACATCCCGTCAAATCCAACATAATTGTCATAATCTGTGCCGTTCTCTCCTGTGCTGGATTTGTTTGCTTAAAACTATTAGACATATATTTAGCTCAGTACAAACCATTCCAATATTTAACAGGTCACTTTTGGTCTAAAGTATGTGATACTTTGCAAATTCATTTTGTATGTAAATTTTTCCATAATATTTATAAGCATAGAAATATGGATATCAAGCGAAAATGAACAATATATGACATTACTGTTATTCATTGCCTAATCTAAATTTTTTTTGGCCAAATGTTAATACTGTAGAATACTTTATTTTCGCTTGGAGTTATAATTTTTCGCGATTTTCGCTGAAAGAATGATTCAGTGAAAATAAAATCCAGCGAATATACCTTTTTTTCTATATTTTACATCAAACTTTAATACCAAAAATCAAACAAAATACCTAAAAAGTGTGTTCAACGAAAATTAATTCCAGCTAAAATAAAGTATTTTACAGTAGAGCTAAATCACACAAGATTTTTGAAGTGCATATTATTGGATTTATTTACTTTTATTGAGTGTTATTTAATAAAAAAGAATAATTAAACAGAAAAAAAAATGTTTTATGGTTGTGGTTTTTATAGTCTGTACTATTTTAGGAAAGTTGCAAGTTCCGCTACATGCACTGAGTAATTTACATATTTTGAAATATGTCAATCATAATTTGTTAAAAAAAAAACCAACCCTCTCTTGGGGATTTATTTGACGTCAAGGTAAGTTACAACATTTGTGTGGTCTATAATATTTCAAATACAGTTAATGGAATCCTAAAGTTGTCAAAATCTGTTTTTTTCACCATTTTCCTAAAATGCTATGGAATCAAACGTGATAGGGATTCTAAACACATGCATGGTAGCAGTTAGGTTGTATGTTGAGCGTCGTTTTGGTAAATATTATGTGTTGACTACCATCGTGGAAGGTACCTTCCATTCTACCATAAACTCTAAACACAAGGCAAACTGGATAAAAAAAAAGCCAAATAATGCTTAAAACCTATTGAAGAATCTATTGAACCTTTTTGACATGTCTTGAATAGTAACTCAATGCACTCCTAGCATTCTTTTATTGTGTTTATTTATACTGCTTATTCAAATGAATCATTAATAATCTCAATAGAGAATATAGCCAATAAGTATCATTAGATTAACACATTGGATGAAATTCAGTAACTTGCTTGTGTTGATAAGTGTTGGGTTTTTTAGGAAGATAACCATGCCCTAAACATCAAGATATCTTTGAGCCATTTCCAATTGTCCAGTCATGCCATCACATACCTCCGTGATTCTCAATCGCTTTAATGTATTAGAGGTAGTTTCAATTTTTCATGTTTCTGAGTTTTTCATGACTACTTTCCGAAGACTTCTGTTCCTGGCAATTCCACCTGATGATTGTACCTAAATTTAACAACATTTGTTTGTGATCCCTACAACATACATAAGATCATGTACTGCTTTCATTCCCACTTCATTGCATTTTAATAAACTATTTGAATGAAGATTCAACAAATGGATGTTAGCCAGGTCTAAGGAGAGTGTAGTTTTAATACACCTGCAGACAGGGAAAAGTTGAATGGTCCATGAGCAGTGAATCCCTTGATGCAGTACAGACTGAGAGTGTACAATCTTTAGAAGACAACCATTCACAATAAAATTTATGTTTGGTATGGTAATCAATTGAGCACTGGAATAGAATCTGCATCGCAATGTACATATTTTTTATTAGACGCATAAAATCCTTAGGAAAGGATAAAAAGGGTCTTACAGAAAGAAATTAAAAAAAAAAAAAAACTACAATCTAAAAAAGAAAACGAAAAATAAAAACATTTCTAAATAAAAAAAAAAAAAAAAAAAACAAGTCAAAAACAAAAAAATACAATTTGCAGCCAATGGTGAATACAGAATATAGAATGAACACAAAATGTAGCCTAATATACACTGATAGTTGTTGCTGTTTTGTTCCATAGCTGTTTTTTAAGAAGACAGCTAAGGCTAACTTTACTGTAAACTGTGCATTAGTCCTTGTTCCTCAAATACACTGTGCGTATGGATGTAGAGATTCAAATATAACAGATGGGAGGGCATTAATTGTACTTGGTAATAACTACATCAACCTCAAAATTTAATCAACACTTACTAATAGAAGCACATCTCTAATAAGAGTACATCTAAAAGTACATCAAAAATGGCATGTGTTGTACCGATGTACTGAATCATTAAAATGTGTTTTATTCTGACACATCTGTCATTTTGTGAACACGTGCTATTAATAAAACAAATACAGGATTATAACGAGTTCTGAATATATTTTGATCTTTGAAAAGGAGTTAAGTAGTTGATACAATTAATTCAACATCGCTCCCTAATAGATATGTGAATGAGCAGAATATTGCACTACACTATATCACTTCAATGTCCACTCTATTTTTAATGTACCCAATTATGATGCCTGAGTTATGCAATCGTCATACTCATTCCGAATAGGAATTTGAAAGTTCAAGTTTGTGCTGTCATTTAGTAGTTGAATGGCTTGTCCTTGTTAAAAAGGTCCAATTTTAATACCACTTTAAAATTGAGAATAAAATACACATGCATTATTTTGGAAAACCATAACTATGTCAGAATATTAATCCAATTCTGTTATTTATTACTGTAACACTTGCCATTGTAACAGCTGTATATGCATATTTGCTGTGTGCGATATACCGATATATACAATGTAGTTCAGCACAATGACATACTTGAAAGAAAAATCAATGGTGTAATAATTTTAGAAAATCTAGAAATGTGAGAATGATATTATTAAAAGAATATTTGTAAAAAAAATAACATTTTGATTTAAAATTAATGCTTATTGTGTACAGCAGCCTCCCAAAATAGAAAAGATTGCAACCTCACAATCACTATTGTGTAAATATTCTTTTGTCTACCTTAAGTACAGAGATATAGATAATCTATTGTTTGCAGTAGCAATCCTATTGCACCATGGCAACACATTACAAATACAGCTGTATACTTTTTGAAGTGACCAGCAGGAGTTTTCGTGTGAGAACACATCTTATCGCACATGTGTTAATATTTTAAACTTAAAGCCCCCCCCCCCCCGCATTTTTTATTTTTCAAAAATGTTTCATAACCTTGAGTGTAAAAATATCTCAAAGATTGTTGTGTTTTATTTTCCTTCATTTCTTCTGTTACTACTGTGACTTAGCACTGGGAACACATATGCTGATACAAACTGATCTGACTGGCAGCCATTTTCTTTTAATGATTGCTGTTCCGAAGCCCCCTCTGACATTTCGTGACTGACAACGATACATAGTTTTAATCAGTAATGGTCACATACAGTTATATACTGGTGGGAGACTTTTGTTATTATACCAATTGAGTCAGTTTAATAATATACCAACATTTGTATAAAATTAGCATCCTCCACATTCAAGTTGGAACTGTTCACAATTCAAACTGCACTCCAGATCACCAGTTAATTTGGCCATGACCTATTTGTTTTAGTTTTCTTTTTTTCATCATTCCCTCAGCCTACATGTATTTGCTTTAACCCCATTGTTCATTTGCCCACCTACCGTAGTTTGCATGTACAAACCCACTTATGATTACACTTGCACTGGATGCACACAAATACTTGACATATCTTTCAGGTTCAACCACAAGTAGCTATGTACGTATAGTTCATCTCAGATCACCGTGACCCGTAAAAAAAAAATCACTCAGTGAACACTTAATCCAATCACCGTCCCTCAACACCCAATAAATGTCCTTGTTCCTACAACCCACCGTTCCTTTCCATAAAATTGATGTTTGTGTTTTATTTCATTTTCCCTCATTGGATTCTAAACCCTCAGCCAATTTTTTTGTCTCATTTGACCTTATCAAATAGCATAAACAGATTGCTTTGTCGGCACCTTTACAGAAAATATGACATTTTTGGGGATTTCAAAAAGTGTAAGAAAACCAGAGTAATTCTAAAATGTATCTACACATATGAACTATCGGTACTTTAAAGCCAAAATAATGATGAACTTAAATTTGTATCTTTAGTTTTGAAATATATATTTACATGTATACAGTACATAACCATGTAAGGATTTTATGAGGACACTTCCCTCATATTACAACAATTAATACCAAAACAAAAAGGTCACAGAAAAGTTCAGAATAACATTGTAAACACAAGGATATATATTGATGTTTTTACTGAGTGATAATAAAACTTGCAATGACTATAAACGCGAATACTGGAATAATAAAGAGATGAAGTTGTAAATGTTGCAACCATTAAGCGATGGTTTCAGCTACCCTGTGTTCATTGACACACTCTTTGCATTCCTGACAAAACAATGCTACAACATGCATCAGTAAACTCTGCTTATTCAGTACAGTAGAGCTGTACACATAAAGCTGTAGATGTCAAGACACTGGCATCTATTAAACGGTTTGTGCACAAAGTAGGAACTTAACTTTAAAGATCCATATTGCAATCTATACTACCATTGCCGTGAATGTTGTCAAGAGGTATGGAATTCAACGATAACAATGTCAAGATCCTGGGAAGTATTGGCGGTGCAGGTGGGAAGCCGTTTGTATTTTACTGTGATGGTCAGTCACTTGAGCGTCTTGATGTTTGGGCAGATGACGAGTGCATCAAAGGAATATGGGCAGCGCTCACTAACCACCAGCATAGATCGTTTGGAACTCACCATGGCGATTACAATTTGGAATACCGAACATACAAGTTTGAAACCGACGAACGACTTACGAATCTCAGCATCTGGAAAAACTGGAATGGAGAGAGAACGGGGAGGATCGAGTTCACGACTAATATAGGTGGGTCATTCATGATTGGACCAGGTGGAGGCAAGAAGTTTGAATTTGATGTACAGGAAAGTAAAGCTGTTGGACTGGCTGGGCGATTTGGTGCAGATATAGAGCAGTTTGCCTTGATGGTTACCAAAAACGACGTTACACAGTCACCGCGGTAAAGATCAATACTGAAGGTTTTAACTTTTGTACAAGAACGCAGGTTACAAAGAAATTTTAAGACAATCATAAACTTGCATTGAACCTATATAAAATTGCCATTGTTTACTTTCAAGGTATTTTGTTACGATTCAATTTATATTGTATTTTACTTAAGGTAGAGATGCAGTTTACCTGACAGGTATTTTAATTAGTTAATTAGGAAACCAAGATGACCTCCCTTGTCCACAAAACTATATATTTTCAGAAAGCTTATTGTATGAATTTTAAAAACGCAAAAAAAAAAATATCACTCCGAAGTGCCCACAAACCTGCAAATCTACCTTAAATGGACGTCACTATAAAATATTCAGGCTAACATTACTGAATGGTATCATTTTGATGAATTGGACATTAAGTTCTAGTTTTCACCTCACTATCACATGGAAAACTGTCAGGAGTAAAATTCAGTTTTAAATCACACGCTTATAATTGACCAGGTGATTGTATTGTACTAATTGTAATCGGTAATTGTTGTAGTGAAGCGGAAGAAACATAAAAGATTTTTGTCTTCTTGAGGTATATCTATTTAAATGTTTTGAATTGCTCTTTTAGAGCCATTGTTGAAAGTACAAGAGTTATATGCGCGATAGGATAACCCGATAACCTGCATGCTTTCAGACCATGATAAATGAAGAATAACCTTTGACCTTCCGTTTGACATTTCAAAAAGAATGTGTACCAAGTCATTAGGCGCCATACCACCAGGAGGATATAAGGCATTACTGGCACACATAAATTGTTCATGAAAAGAAAAACATCTAGAATAAACATCTACCGTACTGTAGCTGTGGGACAGCTTTGAAATGTACACATTACACAATTACTAATTCATCACCACAGGATATATTCATTAAATATAACATTATATTTATATTCTCAAAAAATGTACATATATGCATTTATTTCATAAAAAAATAGTGCTGTACAGTTTTTGGATAATTTAAATAATGGATACAATTTTGTGCTGCTTAGGGTAAAAAAATAACATAATTTTCACAGACTTCTGGAAATTTAATCTGTTTACAGCAATTTACAAATGATATGAAATTTTGTTTAAAAACCAACACATACAAATGTAATACATGTACATGAGTACATTAACTAATTAGACAAATCACCTCACTCACTTATTTGCTCTCACAGACACAATTTAATTTAAAGTACACATGTTACTAATAGAGCAAAATATGATATACCGGTACATATTTGGTTAAAATTACCCTGGTATCTATGCGCTTTCAGAGTACAATAAATGCCTAGAAACAATGGTCGGTTTATCTTATTAGCCATGCAAAGGTATTCAAACCTAATCATATACATGTAATGAATTTGTATTTTTTCAAGTTGCAAAACAAAACAAGATACATGATGATCGACAAAAATTATTGGGCCATCTTGGTTTTTTCTTATGTACCAAACTTACAAAAAGTTACAGCAATATTGAATATAAATAAATTATACAAAAAATAAATAAACTTTATTAAAGCTGTAAGCAATGTTACGTGGGTCCAAGCATATTAACATGATGACTTCGTCAAGTGATCAACCATCATAAGAATTGTAAAATCAAAATGGCTGCCAAACCATGCGACTGATCAAAAGTATCTTATTTTTTTTCCATAAAAAGCCATTTTCAAATATGCTATATGCGAAATAAAAAGGTGATCAGTTAAAAACAAATGTCCAAAATGTTGGCCATTTTTGACAAATTCAAAATGGCAACCAAACCACACTGCCTACAAAAATTATTTTATTTTTTCTGTAAGAAGCTTTGTCCGTATGTGCTTTGTACAAAATATATTATTCAGTTAAAGCACTCATGAGAAACAACATGCCCAAGTTTTGATCTTGTGACTATTTTCTTGTCAGGAAGTTCGGAAAAACGTACAACAGGCAAAATATCTGGGTAATCGGTTGAAGTACTCACGAGTAACAAATGCTTAAATTTGTGTCTATTTTTGCCGAGAATCCAAAATGGCCAAATCACATAACTAATTTGAATTATTTATTTAGTGTTAGAAGGAGTTCAGTATAAAGATGCAACAAGGCAATTGGATAACTGACATCAGTATAAAACTACTTCCTGTTCAAGAGAATTCAAAAAGGCAATCAAACCTTGTGACCAATCATAAAGAGCTTTTCAAACTTTAATGTGCTTTATTCATAGATGCTAAACAGCAAAATTAAGAATAATGATCTATAAACATTAGAAAATAGTGGAAAAAAGTCAGGTGACTGCTAAAATTGTTATTAGTGAAATGGATGTGTATCAAAAAATCTGCTACAAAAAAAATTCAGAATGCCTTCAGAAAGGGTTCACTTCCAGTTCAACTTCAATTCAAAAATACAGGTGCACCAGTTCACATTAGAGCCTATCATGGAAAATTTTAGACCATTGATTCTTATCAGCAGTTTTCTAGAAAATATTGCAAGAAGAAGACCAATCTGTGCAATAACAATAGTGCTCAAAGCCACACAAATTAACAAGAGGGTACATTTAGATTCAGAGAACGTGTATGAAGGGTCATTATCTATCTATGAAGTGGAACACCATCAGACATACCCAATTTAACACTATGAGGTCAAGATCAGTTTAGGTTTACTTTCAAGGTTTACTTTTTAAAATATGGCCAAATACAGTTCAGAATTTTGCAAAAGATTCTGCCCAAGACAAATCAGTGTAGGGTGTCAAATTGTATTCTTTCATCTGCAGTATTTAGAAAAGTTTACTGTAGGCGAGATGAGCAAATTCGCCTGTAACTGCCTTGGAGGGAACCCCGGCAGAGACATATGCATAGACCATTAAGCTGCTGAGAAATGGTAAATGTTTCTCATCAACAAGCAGCTGATTTGCATATTTGGAATCTGACCTATTTGGAACATATTGTGTCTATAGACATATGACCATATGCTTTGAGCAGTACAATACATTCATCAATTACAACACATTTAAACTGATTGATCTTTTGAAGTGAAATAACCAAACTTGAACACTATATTTCCTCTATTAGTAGCATATATATACATTTACGTCAATTACAGAGTAGTCTTTTGTCATATTAACATCATATGATCTTTTAGTTTACATGTGCTTATATTGGAGATGCACTACTAATAGAGCAAATATAAAGGTACCGGTAGTTTTAAATACTGTAAAATACTTTATTTTAGCTTGAATTAACTTTCACTGAAAAGACTTATTTGGTGTTATGTATGGAATTTATTTTCACTGTTTTCTGACGAGTTGAATATAAAAATAAAATCAAGCGAATATACCTTTTTTTCCAGATTTTACAAATCTGGGAAAAAAAAGTATATTCGCTTGATTTTATTTTCACTGAATCATTCCTTCAGCGAACATAGCGAAAATTGATTCCAAGCGAAAATGAAGTATTTTACAGTAGCTTGTTTGAAATATAAAATAATGTGCATTGTTCATCCCTGAGGTATATGGCTTATTGCCATACAGACAAGATTCTGTGCATTACATACATATTTGGTGGTAAATGAACAAAATTATACACATGCTCAGTTTACAAATATAAGTATTTTTTATCAAACAGGTTAAAAAAATCATATGAGATACACTTCACTCACGTCTGTCCACATGTTACCATGAAATATGGAAATACACACACATGCACATACATGTCCTACCGTCGTTGCAACAACACACATTGAATTAACTTTTAATATAGTTCCTATATAGGGTTGCGTTTTAATTGGGGTTTACTTAAACTCAATTACAATGCAATTCAACATAGAATTGCGTTTTATTTAAGTTTGATTAAATGAAAGTTGAATATCCCGTGACTTAACATAGAAATGTTTGCAAAGCTTAGGTTTAGTAAACGGGGAAGGTATGGTACAATTATATTTATATTAATATAAATTGAACCACACCTTCCCTCTTTACTAAACCTAAGCTACGCAAACTTGACTTAAATTCAATTAAATATTAATATAAATTATGAAAATAGTGAGGGTCATCACAATGTAAGTCAATGAAAAGTTAAATTGAAGTCGTCACAATGTTGGTACCACACACACACACACACACACACACACACACACACACACACACACACACACACACACACACACACACACACACACACCATAAATATAATTTTCTACATGTGAGTTTCATGTATAGTAATAGAAATATTGTCATCATGGGTAATACTTGAGTTTCTCCGAAGATCTGGTGTCAACCGTGGTGTTATCAATGGTGAGAGACTTTGACTCTGATTTCCCACAATGGCATGGATATGTGCTCTGAATGAACCCCTTGAACTATTGTGGATTAACACCTGGTAAGGAAGTAGACAAAATACAGCAATGTAAAACAGTACTATTTCAATATACAAATTTACAGTTGTGGCATGTGAATATACATATGAATATAGTCAAATGAAATGCATCTGTTATTTTAATATACCAACATCTCTGTAGCTTTGTATAGCAAATATACTGTCAATGGATTAATTCTGATTTTATAATATTAAAAAATGTGTGTGACTCTAAATCTAAATTATGCCGGTGAAATCTTCACTTCAAGAATAATTGTGATTTTGCAAAATAAAAGTGGTTGAAGTGAGTACATAATTTCTTTCTGATACCAAACATAGCCTGTACAATGTGATCAGATAGATGTGCGTTATAAAACATATATTGGCTTTATTTGGGCATCAGCACTACTGTAAAATACTTTTGCTGGAACAAATTTTCACTTAAAAGACTTTTTGGCCGTTTTGTATGAATTTATTTTCACTGATTTTTGACGAGTTGAATGTAAAGTATAGGAAAAAAAGTTCATTCGCTGGATTTTATTTTCACTGAATCATTCCTTAAGCGAAAATTAATTCCGAATAAAAATAAAGTATGTTACAGTATTCTCCCCATACTGATACT